CTACAGACATCGGTCTTGTTTAACAAAATCTGCCTACAAAAAAATACTGTGTACACTTTTCCAGGTGTGTTACTCCAATAAACCTAAAATTTTTGATAAAAATCATATCAACTACAGATGACTATTTTGCATGTTTCTGACGCTGTTGGAGCATTATGTCTTTTTTTTCCTTGTTACGCTACATAATTAGCTATCTGTTCTAGGAGCCTTTAGTGTTGTATAAATAAACTACAAAGTTCTCAAATACTCCATAACCAACCAAGGGAATCTTGTTTTAATGTCTTTTAAACATGTAAATATTAATATCAAAAGCAAACAAACTTATTTACAGGCTGAAATACCACATTCAAATATATTTTATTAACACTAATAGCAACTTATTTAATGTGATACTTCAACATGCAAGTTTTTTTTTTACATTAACTCTTTCAACAAAGGGTCAGTCAATTTGACCAACCACGTGATCTCTTTGTACTCATTCAGTCTTTATAGATTTCATGCTACTAACTTTTAATATAGTGTATATCTTCACAAAATTTGGCAGTAAGCATTATGTCTTTCACATACACAAATCACATTTTTTTTTGGGTGAAATGTTTTTAATATAATAAATAAAGATTTGTCCTTGAATATATCGAATATTTATTTTCAAGTGATTTTTATGTTAAGATTAAAAATTCTTTTCTTCATCTCAAAAATCTCAGATTTGATTTGTGTAATCTCTAAAACCTCCTAAATACATTTCAAATGTTTGTTTTCACTAAAACTTTATATTTTATCTGTTATTTTCTCTACCCTAACTCTATACGTGGTTGGTCAATTTGACCAACCTTGTAACCACCAAAAAAGTAAAAGATTGATATAAATCTAAATTACCATTTTTTTATACCTAGAATGACTTAAAATGTAACATGCAACTACATTCATTTATCCTAAGTAGCTTTAAACTTGTAACGATATACATCTATTTATAATAAAATTATATTATTTTATTGGCCTTTCAACTGTGTCTAACTACTATTCGTGCCATTATATAAGTTGTAAATCACTTGGGGACATGCAGCTGAGTTTACACTATCGAATTACCTTACCCACGAGCTACTCCGAGCTGCTCAAATGTGTGTCTCATGAAGTATTTTTAATATATTAGTATTTATTTTACCTAATCTAACTTTCACTAACCTAAATAGATCTCTATTTTATCATTTTAGTTACTTTTATAATAATAACTAACGAATAAACATGAAAAACAAGAAATACTTACCCGAGTATTCTTTTTTTTTTTGCTGTCGACTATTGATAACACTTAACCCTACTTTTTTATATTAATGGTAATAGTGCATTAAATAATGCATCAAAAACATAAAATAATAACATGCAAAAAGCACACAATTTCCTCTGACAATTTGTCTAGTTTCTAATTGTGCAACAAGAGCTGCTACAAATTCATCCAGTTTATTCATTAACTTTCAGTACTACTAGTGAAATTGATGATTATTTGCTCAGAAAACGTTATACAATATGACATGTAATAGATGCAAACCTTGGATTTCTATTGGTTATAATTAAACATAGGAGAGAACTACTAACAAATCCTGAAAGAGAGAATGTGACGGGAGGGGTCTGATTTTCTATTTGATAGCTCTGTAACCAAACAAAATTGACGGCTATAAAAATTATGGTTTGTCTGAGCAATGGCAATTTTATAGTTACTGAAGGGGTGGTGGATAAAATAGAGAAGAGAAGATACCTAGAGAAAATATGTCATGTGTGTCACACTAGGAGAAATTTAAGATTTTTTAAAATATTGCCTTATAGAATCAAGAACTTAAAATTTATATACTATTAAGATATAGATTATTAGCTAAGATTTTATGATATACTAATTGGTATAACATAAACAAAAAGTAGTTTAAAAAATTTGGAATGTAAGACACTAAAATCTTGTGTCTTGCACAGTAAAGGATAACCGTGGCAATAGGGTTAAATAAAAATAGTTAAATAACCATAGCTCATTTTTTAAATTTGGCAAATGCATAGTTAGCTGAAGTAAAAGAATTCTGGATATTCTAAAGTAACCTACCTATAAATTCAAACATAAAATATCACAATAATGTCAATTTATTTTGTAAAATAAAACTTTTGAAATCATAACTATCTTACAAAGTCTGAAAGTCTTTAGGAAATGAATCATAAAACTAGAAAATTTGTTTGTTTATGGCAAAGTACTAAAGTATGTGCCACCATCCCTAATTTTGATTTGCTGACCATGTAATAGTTGGATTGAACATCACATTATAATGCTCCCTATTGCTTATGGATATATGCAGCTCGGGCTTTTTTTAAAGAGGAAGCTTGGAAGGTTTTTCATGCTGCATTAAGTAAAAAATGCTCGAAATTTTAAACTGTGGGTCTTATTACATCAACATTTCAGAAACTCAATGTAAAAGTATATAAATGTAATATTATGATAAATTCTTTATTGTAATACATGACCAGATTCTGTGGATCAATGCAAACTGATAACATAAATTATGAGATATGTATAACTTATAAGACTGGAAATATTTTCAGAATGTCACATCTGTAACATGTTTTAATTTTGAAAATAAAAAAGCCTTAATCATTAAAAACAATTTCCAATATTTTCTTGTATACTTGATCCCTCACCATTATACCCATTTTTGTTCAATTTAGGCTCCATCTAAATGATTTCACACATAAAAATAATGTTTGATGAAAGAAAAATACCTTTCATATGTACTTCTAAATAATTGGGCAAAAAGCATGCACAATGTTAAGGTGTATGGCAAAAATTTAGTCTTATTCTATGCTAATCCTTTTCAATAGTCTGCAATTGCACTTTAAGGAGTCTGTGCATTTCTGAGGTATTTGGATAACTGTGGCTTTCAAACACATTTTGCAATTGGTCAACTGTTCATCAATAAGCCAGTTAAAAGAAGCCTACTTAGTGTAAACACCAAAACAGACAAGACAATCTCAGATTGAGCTACTAATACGTTTTGTCTCCAGCTTGTAGGAAAATGGTAAAATGTCTTCAACAACTAAAAGAGTAAATTAATATCGCAGTTAGAGAATTATTAAACAATTTATGATCATCTATCGATATCTGTGTGCATTCTATAAATAAAACTTTCATTTATGCTTCCTCTAAATATAGATTACCTTTAGTGAACCTAGAAAGTGTAAAATCGATAATAGAGACAAACACTCCACAAGCTGGGAAACTAAGTTTCTTTCCCTTAAAGGTAAATTCAACATTTTCTTTTGTGCTTCGTGCAACCAAAATATTGCCCCAGTGAAGATCTCGATGCTCATACTGCAAAGCTTCTTCTGCAACTGCCAGAGCACAAGCCACTTGTTTTAAGACACTCACAGCTTCTTCAGCACTGGTGAACTAAAAAATACAAAAAAAAATGTTGGTGTAAGCTCAGCTTTCTGTGCTGATCACATCTCTTACAAATAGATAACTTTTCAAACTGCTCACTATTTAAAGAACTACTAGTGTAGGTACAAAAAATATTTAGTTTTTCATTTCCTTAGGTAAACACTATTAGTCACTTTTATTGATGCACTATTTCAAACTCCTGAAGAACAAAACTAGACAGCTGTCTAGTGCCTTCACAACTGTCTGTCAGACTGTGTTATATAATAAATAGGTTAATTCGATGTTAAACAATATATATCTAAATCAAACGCACTCATAAATCCCTTGTCAAATGGCCACAATGTTCTACATGTAATTCTGTAAAAGATTATATGTTCAGTGGTCATTAAACAATAATGTGTAACAACATACTCATCAGTCATTATCAGTCAGTGATTCAGTTACTTAAGTGAATAAGAAACATATATTATTCAGTATGAATGAATGAGAATAAAACTAGTAGTATTTCCTAATAGTAAAGAAACTAGGACAAAAAATATGATAATTTCAGTCATACATATTGCAGGAAAATGCCAGCCATCAGTGCTGGAATGTTGGTTATTCCTCACAATAAATTGCATGAAATACTTTTGTAAAATTTTAAAAACATTTTTATAATGAAAATCTCCAAGTAGACCCATTTGTTGCAGTGTGTTAGTGAAAATGAAGCTCAACAAGATAATTTCTGTTTGTCCTATGTATATGACAAAGATAATTTTGACATGATACTAGTTTCTCAGGGTCATACACTGTCTCATCACTGCTAATTGAGTATCAAAATCTTGCTTAAACATACCTAAAGCTCATATTGATTAGTTATCTTTTAGTGCATGTATACTCAACTCTACAACTTTCCACCTTGTGTCACCTGCACTGAATACAGGATTCAGGAATTAATTACAGTGGCAGAAGTAAACATGCTAGATTATCAAGGTGATAGTTGAGGTAATCTATGGAATGGGTCAATTGTGAACTTTATAGCTAATGCACTAGTACTAGTTCTATAAAAGACACACAACAAAATATCTCAAGCTATGTTAGAATATGGTATTACCAGCATCTAGCATTTACTTCAAGAGAAATAACATAGCATTGTCACACTCATACCTTGAAGCTGAAGATGTACCCCAAAACAGACTTAATACAAAGGTATCGTAAAAGATTCATTCATGATGTAGGAAAACAAGTAGGTTCAAAATATGAATTTAAGACTTAAGACAAAAATACAAAACCCTATAACCTGAGCACTTTTGAAAGGTGGACCTTTCTTTATCAGGGGCAAATTGGGAATCAGTTCTTTGAAGCTGTTAGTAAAAACATATTGGGACCTCATTGTGCTTTGTCTTACAAGTCTCAGTTAAAAAACATTTGCCTCCAAACATTGTGAATTTAATATGCATGGGAAAGTTTCTCTCACCAGAAAAGGATGTTGATGTGACATTTAAATTGGAGAAAGTCACAGAAGCTTTGTCTTATATTAATAAAAGACAGGTATTTTTAAACTTGGCTTTAGTTCGATACACAGAAACAAAGGTCTGTGAGCCAAACCACTTTAACTTTCTCTACACGGGCTCAGTCAAATTGACCAACCACCTAACCACGTTTTACTCCTTTAAAGTCATAATACTACTAACTTTTAATATAGTAGTAGTATCTTCACAAAATTTGGCAGCCTTTTAATAAATATTACAAGTGTTTTACATACAAAAACTCAGATTTTTAGTGAAGTATTTTTAATAAAGATTTGTCAGTGAATGTATCCAGTCCCTATTTTTTAATAGCAAAGTGATTTTTCATGTTAAGTTTAGAAATACTTTTCTTCATCTCAAAAATTTCAAATTTCATTTGCATATTCTCTAAAACCTCCTACATAGAGTTCAAACGTTTTTTTCAGTAAAACTTTATATTTTATCTGTTATTTTCTCTACCCTAACTCTATACAAGGTTTGTCAATTTGACTGACCTTGTAACTTCCAAAATATTAACAAACAAATTGCCCTTTTTCTTCTTCCTAGAATGACTTCAAGCGTAACATGAAACTACATTTGTTTGTCCCAAGTAGCTTTAAACTTGTAAGAGTATACATCTATTTATAATAAAATTATATTATTTTATTGCCCTTTCAACTGTGTCTAACTACTAGTTGTGCCATAATATAAGTTGTAAATCACTTGTGGACATGCAGCTCAGTTTACACTATCGAATTACCTTACCCACGAGCTACTCCTAGCTGCTCAAATGCATGTCTCATGAAGTATTTTTATTTATTTTACCTAATCTAACCTAAAGAGATCACTATTTTAACATTTTAGATACTTTTATAATAACAAGTAAAGAATACTCATGAAAAACAAGAAATAAATTATTTACCTGAGCCTTCTTTTTTTTTGCTGTCAACTGTCAATGACACTTTTTATATATTGGTAGTAGTGCATTATAAAATTTTTATTTACTTAAATAATTCATAAAAGAACATAGAATAGTAATATGCAGAAAGCAGACAATTTTTCTGGCTTTCTAATTACATAACAAATTCATCCAAGCTAGTTGCTATGTTTTCTGTAGAAACGAAGCTTGTATTGAAAAAAAAACTGACAATTCTGTGTACAGAAAACAACTTAATATAACACATCATTTGACAGATGAAAACCTTAGCTTTCTATTGGTTATAAATAATATAACAAATCCTGAAATAGAGGACATAACAGTTGGGTGTGGCAAGAAGGGTTTGATTTTCTATTTGATGGCTCTCTAACCAAACAAGATTGAAGGCTATAAAAGTTACTGTTTGTCTGAGTAATGACAATACTATAGTGAGTAATTGACATTAAATTTCATACTTATTGGAGGGGTGGTGAATTAATTAGAGAAGAGGGGATACCAAGAGAAAAAAATGTCACATTTCTCACACTAGGGGGAAATTCAGGATTTTTTTTAATATTGCATTTTAAAATTAACAACTTAAAACTTGTATATACTATTAAAATATGGAATATTAGCTACATTTATATGCTATACTAATTGGAATAACATAAACAAAATGTAGTTTAATTAAATTTTGAAGGTAAGTCACTAAAAACCTCATAACATGCGCAGTAAAGGATGCCTGTGCAGATAGGGTTAATATGAAATTTGATTAATTACTTATAGATTCATGCCTGCGGAAACAATTCATTAGTTCTAATAACAGTTTTAATTAACTAGTCAGTTACCTTTTTACACAAAGGGCCATGTCCTTCTGGTACAAGATGTGGTTTTCATAATCATATTTTATTATATAACTCATTCATGCATTACAATCTCACCATGGATAATCTCTTCTCAGTTTGTTTAATTTCCACCCTTTTCACAAATATAAATCAAAAATGCTTTTCAATCATCTTTCACAAACAGTAAGTGTCTGCAAATCAGTTTCCTTATTTTTTAACACTACATAAAAAAATAATATTTTACGACACCTGAGAAAAATTACAATAAATTAGGTATATTCAAAGAATGAACATAGTGAGCTACATAATCATGCAAGTCATAACAATCAGAGCTTGATTTGTCTTGTTTTGCAACAAATCAAATTAAAATTTAACAAATATCTGATGTGGCAAGGAAATACCAAAACTGGCAATATATATATATAAGTAAATGTAAATAATTAAACAATCAGAATTATTATAACAACCACATTAAATCTTGTAATAGTTTCAACATTAAGCTGTCCAATCCTGTTCATCCTTTCCAAACATTATTACTTTTAAACTTGGAGTATAATGAGCATAAGTAAAATAAAAGAAGATGTGGCTCTGTTTTATGTTGACCTTATCTTAATAACAATAAAGAAACTGTAGTTCACCTGCAATACAAAAAACAATCATTACTTATATTATACTGCACAGAAAAATATAACCTATGATGAGTATTTATTTATGATGGCATCAAAAAGTTTCCAGCAAATAATCTACTTACATGGAAAGACTCTAGGTCACACCCTCCATCAGAAAACTCAAATATGATATACAGCTGATTTGTGTCAAATATATCTGGATAAAAAAAAGTTCACCACTTAAATATTTCATATTGCCTAAATGAATATTACATTAGGCAAATATTAAGTATTCTTGAAACTACATCATAGAGATTATAAATCATTTTAAAAAATGACAAATCAGTTTACATCAGAAGTTACAAACAAATTCATTGAGTAAACCCTTGTATACAAATTACATCAAAACCCTTGCTTTTCTATAGTTTTTAACACAAGATATTACAGTCATGTTGATTTAACAATAATTTCTCTAATGATCTCAAACACACTTCAAGTGTCAAGTGCACCTTCACCTATCAAATTCTAAAATGTTAATATATAAAAATAATTCCAGTTCGTATTTCCTTAAAAAATATCATTTTCAAGATTTTGTTTCTCACATGATTTTGCTTCTTTTCCTCAGATTTTATTAATGTATTAGTATAGGGATCTGAGTCCTTGAACCTTTATGTTCCATATATCTACCACAAGCATTTCTCTTAGTTGCTTATAAGTACTCCTAAAACAACTAGATCACTGATATACTAATTAAAAGGGGATTTTTGCAAATTTAGCAAAGTACCTAAAACTTTTGATCAACTCTTCTTGATAATGGCATTTCTTCATTTACAGATAAGTTTATATCATTTGTGGGAAAAACAAACATAAATTGTTTACAAATTTAACCTTAAAAAAGACAAAGATATACTGAATGAAAAGTTGATTTGAAATGTATTTTTTAATAAGATACAAAGTGAAGATTAAGTCATAGAAAGTGTACATTCCTTCATTAAAGCATATTTGTTATTTAAATCATAATTAGCATGTTAAAGCAAGTCTGATCAGTTGACCCTATTAAGGAATTTCACAAAAAAGTCTACAGCAACTACCAAACTGTCAACTAATTATTATTGGTAAATCAAACTTGAATAATACTGTATTATTAACATATATACCACAGTAAAACAAAATAACTTATCATTTCAAATGCTTTAAAATCTAAACAAAGTTATTTACACTACCTGGACGATCATTAAGAGTAGATTTGTTCTTTGCAAACTTGTCCCATTCTTGAAGAAGTTTGATAGGGTATTTTCCTTGAACACACATAACTCTAATAAAATGTAAAAAATAATTATAAACAATATCTTAGTAAAGAAAAAAAATTATTGAATTGTCTTATATCAGAGGATCATTTTTAAAGATAAATATCACAGCTAACTAGTTTTTGTGACCATGTTAAATTTATTGTTAACTTAAACATATTATAGACCCATAAATACAACATGGGGTGGATTGCATTTAAAATATTTAGAATCTAAAAATATCAAGGTATGTGAACACATCTGATCATGCATTACAATAAATATCTAATAAAACAGACCTTACACTATTTTAAAGTATGTATACAATGGATAATAACTTACTAAGTAGCTTCACAAAATTTATCAAACTTTTAGTAAACATTACAAGTCTGTTGTACACACAAAAAAAAATCAGATATTTAATAAAGTATTTTCACTAAACATTTGTGTAAATTTACAAAGTCTCTACTGAGTAAGTTTGTGTGATAAGTGATTTTCATGCTAAAAATAATTATTTTATCTTAAGGTTTTTATATTTGATTTGCATAATCTCTTAGTCTCTTAAACAGTGTTGTAGGTCTCAAACAACCCTTTGGGAGTTCTCGGTCTTGATGTTTTACATGTTCTGAAAAGGAGACCAGCTACATTTAAAAGTTTTGACAGTATTAGACCAGTCTCCTACCAAGGATTATTAAGTGCTAAATATGTGCAGTGTAGCATCAAAGATGTTTTATTAGTAAAACCCCCTTGATACTACACAATGATTTGCATAGTGCCTCCCTTATTTTTGTTTAATGCATCAACCACCATACTGCATGTATGCCAATCCACAGGCCATTCAAAACTAAGTGCTCCTATACATTGCATTACACATCTTGTGCAGGTATGTACATCAAATGTTAGCAATTATCCCTGATATTCAACATGTCTATTAGATAACCTGCGACCTTGTTTGGCTTCAAAGATCATAAAGAATTTTATTAGCACCAATACTGGTTTTAGTTTTTTTGCTGACCTTTTATATTTTTTCATCGTTTTTTTTTCATAGAAGGAGATGTCAAAACTAAGACTATGGGGTTAACATGTAAAGAATTTGTGGCTAAGATGTTAATAAAGTTTGTTTGATGCATGTGATTTTTATTCTTCTTGCTTTATTTTTCATTGTGTAAGTTATTACAAGATCTTGGTCTTGAGCCCTAAAGTTTTGAACCCTCAGATATCAGTCTTGGACATTGAGGTCAACTACAACACTGCTCTTAAATTAATATCATAGTTTTCTTTGTAAAACTAAAACTTTGTATTTAATGTCTTTTCTTTGCCCTAACACTTACTGTAGAAAATCAACTTAAAGTAAAATGAAATAAAATCAATAATCAGTTTTTTCTAGAATGAGTACAGGTTGTAAAAAACAATTACAATTATTTATCCTAACAGCCTGAGCTTTCTAGCTTTTTCATATCTGCTTTTAAATTTATTACTTTACAACACCCTTTAGACACTAAGCACATGACATTCAATTAACCACAGTGGAAAACCACATGAAACAGTTAGCTCAAGCTGGTCTTATCAGATTTTGTTATTTACTTTTTGTTATCTAACTTCATAAGTTTCAACTTTGGACTTACATTAGAATTGAAGTATATTTCAATAACTTCCTTAGCACTAATTTTTCCATAGTATTTTGGTTCTCCACAAATTTATTAATGTTCCTATCAAATATGCATTTGAGAACACAAATAATATAATCAGGCAATAAAGCAGTATATCCCAAAACTACAGTAATTTAATTGGCTTTCTAACTGACCTATAAATAGCTTTAAAAAATTATGTTAGCTGCTTGGATCACAAACAATGAAACTGAAGCTAAATATCAGGCAGAAAAATAAAGTAACTGTATAAGAAACCTTTTAAAGAAAAAGCTGATCTTTCTATTGGTCATAAATAATACAACGGCAATGTCACAGTGAATTAATGACTTTTTTGTAAGACTGAAAGACATGGGAGGTGTATTTCATGTTAGGTTGAAATTATTTTTCATAAAGCAAAAAAGAATGGAGATTCTAAATTTATATTCTGGGCAAGTTGGATTTCAGACAAGCCATGTGACATAGAGAAGTGAAGATTTAGAATGTAATTAAGTATTTCCTTCTGCAATCAAGAAATTAAAAATATAATATGAAATTTTAATCATAAACTACATTTTGTTGCTAAGCTTACTGAAATACATTGATAATAAAGATGTTTAATTATATTTTGAATATAACTTTGTAAAAAGGTCATGACATGCACACTTTGACCCCCCTGTATACGTAAGGTTAATCTGATATTGGGACAGATAGTACAACAAATAAACCCTGCTACATATAACTATGTTATTATAGGCTCAGTTGATCTGACCAAGTTCATTAGCTCCAAAGTGATCATCATAGTTTCCAATGTCAATTTATATAATAATAATAATAATAAAATAAAAAATCAAACTGTGTCATATACACGATAACATTTAAAACTATATTTTAATCTATAACTAGGTGTTATTTTCTTATCAACTATATTAATAAAGGTCATTGTTTTTGTGGATTGAAAATGAGCCTCCTTATTAACAACAAATCCTGGTTGAACACACAACTTTAATAAAGTAACTATTAATAAGAGCATCTGAGTGAAACTAAAGAAGACTTAAGGTGAGATGGTTTTAATAAATGGAAGTTACAACAAGATAACATTCATTATTCAGTAAAAACATTTAATAATGTTAACCTATTTATATGAACAGGACTCCTGTATAACTACGACTAACTCTAGCAAGACAGGAAGCATTGAAATGGGAAGATAAAAGTCTGGCTGTTGTCATGAACCCCTTAAACGTGGCCTTGTGCTGAAAGTTATTTGATCTACTGATTTATCAGCATGCGTGTTTGTTTCTTCAGTTTCTTCAAGTCTGTTCCATAATATGTAAACATATTAAACATTTTAATGTGTTCTTTCTAAATTTCCATCTGCATCAACAACTTTTCACTTAAAAGCTTAAGATTTTTTTAATGTAATTTTCTTTCAGCTGATGATAAAAGTAGAAAAAATTCTGAAATGTTGGTATCTAAGATTTTTATGATATTAACATATTTTTCATATTTCTTATCAAACTTCATTTTCCACCTTATGAATCATTTTTAACCTTTATAAATAGGTTATCTAATAACATGAGTTTTCTTGCCAAATAATAAGTATACTGTCTTTCTTTTTCTAGGATCAGAGTGAATTTGTTTTCACTGAGTTATATTTTATCTATCACACATTGTGACAAAAATCTTTCTTAGTTTTATCATATGAAATCTAAGGACAATTATCCAATAGTGTACTAAAGCCAGATGTCTCTGTTCTCTGTAACAATACTATAATATTTTATTTAAAAACAATGATATAGTTTATACAATAATCAATATCCCATTTTAACACAAGAATCCTTTTCTCAACCTTATTGACTTATTGTCATGCAGCACCCTTAATATACTAGTGAAAATTGTTTAAAGGGTATATACAAGGGTAACATCCACTAAAACTAGAGAATGTAATGTTTATTATTTTTTTCAAATTTGTAACCAAGATCATTAAGTAATGCTTATTTTCCTTGTCAATAATTCAGTAGTTTTAACATAGTAGTCTTGTGAAAATCTGTTGAAAGTAATACATGGAATGTTATTAATCATATTTTCTCTTACAACAGGTTTTGTATTATGCTGCACACATACTTTCATGTACAACAGATAAATATCAGGAAAGTTACTTCATCCTAAATTGACGTACTTGAAGATTTCTATCAATCCTTAACTCCTTCCTTATTAGTACCCTTTTCTGCGCATGCCACATTCTTATCACAGTTACATTCAAAATTTAATGAAACTACTTTATTAATGTATATGAATAATATTAAAATCAAACATAGTTAATAAATCAAATTTTAATATTGTATACGCTTTAAGTTCTTAAACTTACAAGGAAATATTTAATAAAAATCCTTTAGCTACCCTAGTATGAAAATTGTGACATTTGCTCTCTAGATCCTTCATCTTCTCTAATTCATTTACCACCCTTCCGAGAAGTACAGAACGTAAATTATACATTATAATATACTTATTACTAAGGTAAAGCATAATTTTTATAACCTTCAATTTTATTTGATTACAGAGCCACAAACTATAAAATCAGACCTCCCCTGCCCTGCCATGCTCACAAAGTCATGTAAAATACGTAAGCTCATTGCAATAGGGTTAATTAGTTCTGTTAGACAAGTTTTTTTCCTTTCTCATTTATGATGTACATTCTTTATATTTAGCAAATCTTTCTTAATACTTACTGTTTATTTATGATAACTTTCCAAGTTTGATTTTTATCTTTTTTTTTTTGTTATGTCTACTTAACAAACCCTTTCATATCTAAGATTACTGTTTCCTGTCATATTGCACAACATAAATGCATCACACCTGCAACATTCCTTTGAAACCTAATCAAAACACTTCTGGGTTGTCATGATAGACTACTGTGACACCACTCCATCTTTTTTAATACATCATTACCTTAGTCATTCCCACTTGACTCCAGATGAAGAAAGGTGCTCACTTCATAGGGTTTCTTATTTTTGGTCTTTTATATTAAACAAAGGGCAGTTTGAAAATGTCTTTAAAAATCCCCAAACACACTAAAGATGGAAAATTTGTCTCATGTGAAAATAACTGATTAGTTGAATGTAACAGATCAGCAAATTTCATTAATCATCCAGCTCTATATCCAATAAATTTACAAACCCTCAGTCACACACACACACAGTAACATGTATTTAAATTAATGCAATGACATTATCATATTGCTTTTGTCTACAATAGGATCTCAGTATTAATGACTATTTTCGTTCATGGTATCATTAGAGGAAGTAGTGAGTGGAGTATTCTACATGCTGTGCTGTAAAATCCTACTGATTAAATGTCCATAAAATAAATGAATGAATATATACAAACAACTTGGATGAAAAATCCAGTTCAAGCCATTCTTGACAAAACTGAGCTGCCAATGACATTGTACTGATCATGATCTCTCTTAAATAAAAACAAAATCATTGTGGAATAGGAAAAAGGGCAAGTAGATGTTTAAGAAGGATCAGTAATTTTTTTGCATTGTTTTTATCTATTCGTAAAAAGTTTTTTTTTCAAAAATCTCACACTCTTATCACAGCAATACCTATTCTTCCTAACTATAAACAAATTACCCAAGCACTAGAATACTATTCTCATTTATATGCATGATTTTTTCATATGAAACTCTTACACGCATTTATGATTGTATAGAAATTAATTAGATAACTTACTTACCGTTTCACAGAAATAAAAGTTGATGTCATGTTCTCTTTATCGTCATTTAACTTGGTGAGCTCTCTGTGTGTAAAGAAAAGTAAATTTCAATTGTTAAACAAAATAATTCCTTAGCTGTCTGTTTTAAAATTTTAGTCTATTTTTTAGTTTATCACCAGTGAGCTTGAACTAAAATGTGCATTAACTATTCATTGTTTGTCACTTTTAAATGAGTCAGATATTTCTGAACAGCCAACTTTGAAATCAAAATTAAACATGCCTAAATGATAAAATAAATACAACTGATGGCAACAGAAATTGTAGTGAATTGGGCTTTTTTTTGTTACAACAATATACCATTTATGAACAAAAGTGAATGTATACTGTTATAGGGTAGCCAATGTTAAGTTCAACACATTTCCAAATCAAGAAAATAACTGAATTAATGTTATTTGGCACGACAATTAATGCAAAAGTGGGTGATTCAGGGCATAAAGGGTACACTGAAAGACTATAAATAGCAGTGGATGCTATGTCTGAAAAATAACTATTGAAATAGAATAATAGTTGTTTCAATTCTAAAGTATCAATCATGTTGTAAATACAACCAGAGGTAGAGGAAACAAAGTTCATAATGCTGTATTGAATATTGCTAACTATGAAGTCTCATGAAAATATCAACCAACTTGTAAATATCACCAGTTACAGGAAACTGGTGTTCATAATGCTGTACTGAATACTGCTAACTATGAAAAGTCTAATGGAAAAGAAACAAGATGATGTATCATAAAAATTAAAACATTTATAAATACAGGAAGACTTATCGTCTTGACTAATAGTGTTTCTACAAATCTATTTTCGTGCTTACAGAAAAATATCATGGGCCTTTATCTTCAATCTCTTGTTTTCTTAATGAAACACAAGATAAAAGAAGTCAAATGTCTGAAACAAGTTTTTTGTTTTTATATAGCACTGTCATCCTCCAGGAAAATGTAAATAAAAATAATGAATACATGATGTCACTTAAGAAAAATGTTAGAATTTCATTTGCTAACCTCTTACTATGCTATTTAGAGTACTGTTATGACAGCGGAGGTCACGTGACGCTAGTAACACGTCATGCACTTCTCAAATGTTCACGTCCCTTCCTGACTTCTCGAGAGCTTACTAGATTCGGTATTCTTGTACATATAAGACGGTCAAGATGTGACAGCAACAATGTGTAATTGAACTGCGGACAGAGAGAGAGTATTGTTGAGTCGAGCACGTGAGACGTTCATTGTGAATTATAGCATTTGTTATAGCGTGACTGTGGAAATTAAGTGTATTGCAAAGTTGTATTCAGAAAGAATAAAGCAGTTTTATTTTAGAAAGGACTTGTATCACTAAAGTTTCTTCGGAAAGAATTTTCACGGAAAATTAACTAACGACCAGTGACGTAACAAATTGGTGTCAGAAGTGGGATACAAAAAAAAGAAAAGAAGAAGATGGAAACGAGAGGCAGAAAATCAAACTACAGCTCAGCAGATTTGATGGCAGCAATACAAGAACAGCAAAAGAAACAAGAAGAACGAGAAAATAAACAAGAAGAGAGACAACAGCAGTTGCAAGAAAACCTGGAACAGTGGCAGCTCGAACAA